CCCTCCCTCCCTCTCTCTCTCTCTCTCTCTCTCTCTCTCTCTCTCTCTCAAATGTTCCTAAAATCATACAAATCAGATTAAATCTTCAAGAACAATTAAAATTGAGTAGAAAAAGATTTTCACCAATATTGAAATTGTATTTCTTGAGAGAAAAGTACAAGATGATTAACAGCACTAATCAGAAATTATGAACTGAACTAATTACAATTAGAGAACTAAAGACTATTTATACTAAAAAACTAGTAAAACCTAACTATTACAAAACAAATACAATGAGAGAACTTGAATACAACATTTAAGCATAAACTTGAACCCAACACTGTCTCTTTCTCTCTCACACACACACACATATACATAACCTTTATTGTCACCTAGAAAAAGAAAAAACCTTCCTTGGTTTTAGGTACAATCCAACATAAACATACATTTTATGGTTTATGCTATAATTTATACTTGTACATATGAATGGATGTATAATGTTAATATGGATGGGTGAATTAGTAGATGTATGTATGTAGATGAACTATAATATGAGAATAATGGTTATGATGAGAAGCCTAAAAAATTATATGTATTTTTGATCATTTTTAATCTCACATTCACTCATGAATTATGTATATATCACGGAAATTGATCCGGTGTATCTTGGTGCACCATATTAGTGTTGATCTCAAGTAGGATTGATTCAAGGATGAAGATTGATTCTTATCTTTCTCAGCATAAGTTCCATTTTCCGCAGCCCTATGTATATTTGTTATCTTATAATGTATTTTCTTAAAATTATAAAAAAAAACTTTGAATTTTAAGAACGCAATATATATGAAACATTAAACATAAATACTAATACATTGCTGGAAAACATAAAAAAAAAAAAAAATTGATGGAACAACAAAAAGTGGAGTTATAAAAGGAGTGGTAGATTACGATGTACATCTATGAACATTTTGGTAAAGTACTACGACAAAATTGATTTTATAAGACCCTTAAAATGTAGAAGCTTTCTAAAAAAATATTTTATAAGACCTAGGTTTATAGTACTAAACTAAAAAGTTTATATCTAAAAGTATTACAATATGTTTATAGAACGTTTTTAAGCGTTTTAACAAGTTTTTAGACTGTTTTTATAATAAAATATTGCATTGACAATTTCATACTATAGTATTTGAAAATTTGTTCTATAAACACAAATATCATATAAAAATATAAATATAAGAATCTTCTCTGAAATGTTCTATAAACTGGGATTTGAATAACAAGTTTATATAGTAATCAGGGATGTTGAGATCTGTATTAAGAGAGTAAAACAATAAATACGTGTAAAAAATGTAAATGAAATAATTTGAAATAATCTATATTAAAAGGGTTGGTAATTTTTATAAATAATAGATGAATTAATTTGATTTTTATTTAATAAAAATAATCAAATTAATTAAAAAAATAAATAAATTGAAGTTAATAAAAGGACCACCCTTGCAAATAAAACGTTTTGCCAACTAAGAATATATACAACGGTTATTTGTAAAAAAAAATAATCGAAGACTCGGACCGATTTGGGTCCAGCCCGACCTGACCCATCCCAGTTTTTGGCCAATCTTTAATTATATGTATGAACGGAAACGTCGAAAAAGTTAGTAATAATGTTCTAAAAAATCAAATATTAATCATGGGCTGTAAAAAAAATTATTAAAGGAGATTTGTGGAAAAAGAGAAAGAATAGCTTGCACAACCCGATGCACATCAACCATGTCTACCAAGTTTTTGCCATTTGATTTATTGTTAAGTTATTTTAAAATCATTGGTTAAAGTTTATTTTTTTAATAAGTATCAACATATTTTATTCAGCTTAAATTTATATATTATTAATAAATTTTATTACAATATTAAAATGTTACAAAAAGATATATAATTTTTCCATCATCTACTTTGTTCAAAAGATTTATTAGTGTTATATATATATATATATATATATATATATATATATATATGAATTATAACTTGAAATACATACAGGGTTTAAATCTGATTTAAAAAGGTGAAAATGGCTTTGATCTTCCAAATGCTTAAGTTATATTCAAGATGAGCAAGAAGATAATAAAAATTTACTATTTACAAAATAACAAATGTTTAATTTAGGGTCGTTTACCCAAATGCTTATCGGTAAGTGTTTACTGATATAAATCAACATTATAATTTACTTTGATAGTAAGATTTCAGTACATCAAAACATATCGAGTGTAACAAGTTACTAGGTAAGTGCTTACCTGGGTAAGAGTCGTCATCATTACTTACCGGGTAAGACTCTCTATCATTTTCATTGCTCTTACCCGGTAAGCACTACAACAAAATTGGGTTTATAGGACACCCACGATCTCTAAGTGTCCCAATAGAATACTTTATACGACTTAATTTATAGGACAAAAATATAAAGCGTCATATCTAAAGACGTTGTAATAAGTTTATATGACGTTTTTGGGAATCCTAACAAGTTTTTGAGGACATTTTTAATACAAAGTGTCACATTAACAACTTTATAAGACACTTTTGAGAAATTGTCCTATAAAATCAATTTTTTATAGGACAATTTTTCAAATAGTGTCCTATAAAGTTGATAATGAGACGTTTTATATTAAAAATGTTTTAAAAAACTTATTACGATATCAAAAAACGTCATATAAACTTAATACAACAGCTTTAGATATGACACTTTATTTTTTTGGTCCTATAAACTAAGTCCTATAAAAAGGTCTATTAAGACGTTTAGAATTTTGGAGTGTCATATAAACCCGATTTTGTTGTAGTGAAGATTCTTGACCCTTCTCATGTTCATCCGATAAAGAAATTTATTCAGTAAGCACTTACCAAGTAAGTATTTAGTAAACGACCCCCTACTTTTTAAAATAAGAAAATATTGTTTTTTACTTTCTAATTTGTATTTTGCTCCTTAGATATGGACATTATTCTTCAAAAGATAGAAAACTAGAGAAAGTTTTTAAGTTAAAAGAGAATTTTCTAAAATTTGATATACGGAGAGCACATAAGTTTTTATTGATTCCCACTAATTAGATTGAATTATTATTATATTATATAAATTAACTTTAAATAAATATATTAAGACGATAAATTTATAAAATATTTTAATAAATTATAATGAATATTATAGTATCTAAAATACAAAATCTGGAGTTAAATATATATTTTTTTAAAATTTTGACTTTTAGTACGGTTTTGTAATCAAGCTTCTCAAAATTAATTAATGAAGTTTTAGTTAAACAACTTCGCAAAAGAGTTTCATTAGGGGGTGTTTGGGATTGCTTATTTGAAACAACTTATGTTTTTTTACAAAAACACTTTTCAACTTATTAGAAGTCTGAAGGGTTTAACTTTTTCAAAAACTCCTTCTTACCGGTTTGACACCGGTATAAGTTGCTGATCCAAATACTTAAAAATGCTTATTACCGGTGTCATACCGAAATAAATCAATAAGTTATTTTTATAAGCAATCTCAAACACCATTTGAGGAGGGAATCTATCATATTTTTTTCCATTGCTTCCCTTGATCATACAAACAAGATGCATAACATTATGAATGGCAACCACATATGGGCAAGCTTCATAAACGCAACTATATTGTTCGAATTAGAGATAAACAATGTCGGCTTTTCCCGTCCGATAAATAGCCTGACCGAACGTTTTCAAACCGGGCTTTCAACTTCATGCTTATTACTCTTATCATTTAGATTGTTTTTGTAGTTTCTTCTTATCATTATTTATCTTAAAATGTTAATCTTCGGATATCCATACTTTTAACTTCATGCTTTTATATAAATTAATTATTGGATCTTGTAAATATGATACTAATAATCGAATCACTATGAATTAATTACTGGATCTTGTAAATATGATACTAATAATTGAACCACCAAAATTCTTTTTTGAATCAGGAATAGACAATCTTTTCTATACAAGTTTAACATGTTTCAAAATATATACCGTCTAGTATTGATCATGGTGCAACGAATGGAAGCATCTACAGGACATCTAGTCGATGCATGCCGCTCCTTGGTGGCAAGATCTTACGTTCGGGTTTCACTTGATGTGACGAAATTAACACGCTACATTAATTGAACTTTATGGGCACTTTTTATCTTCTTTTGGTACAAAAGAAAAAGCACCCAACCACAAGGGTGGTGTCTAAGTGGTTTTAGATTGAGCTCTAAATGTCAAAAGTGTCCGGAGGTTCAAATGCGGTGACTCAGGACTACCCGCAGAGCTGGTGGTCGTTCTGGGATTAGTCAGCTCGCATAACGAGTTAGATAACCAGGTTAATAAAAAAAGCACACAAAAATTGATTTGGTTTTCGATGAGTACCAATTGACCATCTTCTTGTTACGACCCATCTCGAATCTCAGCTGCTATTTCCTTAGGAAATTTAGTTATGTATATGATACAAATTAAAACAACCTGTATATATATACAAGCATGGTTTCTTGATCATCAATTAAAGGTAGTCCCCAGAAATTCTACTTAATTTATTGAAAGTGATGTCAATTGTTCTTCTAAATTTCAACTTTGAGTTTTGATCACCATCGACATTTTTCCTCTTCCGCAAGCAAGAAACGTTAGATGTTCGATTCCGTCGCATGTGTAATATATTTATTTATGCAACATTTAGATCAGAAAAACTCATGAGCCCCAAATAAAACAAGAAAGAAACTTTAAAAGAACCCTTTATAGTCGTTAACCGTAATCGGCATGAACCAACTAGTTTTAGGGTATTACTTCAATACTTAAATCAAATCATGAGCCGCTTGAAACCATAGCAATCAAATCAAACAGAATCTTCAAAACAACCCCATACATATACCTTACACTACTCCTTCATCATGTTTAAGAGTTTTAGGGTATTGATTACACGCATGCAATGGCAAAACACAGCTTCTCCTCTCTACGAAACGACCACACCTGTACAGTGGTGTTTGCTGTCAGATACTCCTTGTTCTTCTCCACGAACTGATTCCAGTTGGTCTTCAGAACGTAATTGCTCGTGGATTTCAAGTTCCACATCCTCAACGTCATCGGGTTCGTGTGCATTTGCAGCGTCGGCCCCAGCAGTGGTACCTTAAACTCACCATCTCTATCCAGCAATTGTTTCTCATCGCTTGTCAAGAAGTCAAGTGTCTCCAGTTGGTTCATCGGCATGCTTAACCTGTTTTGGTTTTTTGCAAGATCGGTGGCATACAAGATTTTCTGGATCACCAGTTTCAAGTCGGAACCTTTCATCTCTCCGGTGATGAACTCTTTCAGACGCTCTGTTGTGTTGTTGCTAATGACCGGGGAACGGACATGCATCTTTTTATCTTGAATCTTCATCCTCTTCTTCTTGTTCTCATCTTGATCATCTATGGACGAAAGTGGACGCTTTTTCACAGGTTTCTTGGTGAGTTCGTGATGATGAGACGATGAGGCCTGGTCCTGACGAGCAAAGAGTTGCATCTTGTGTTGCACCAATTCATTAATCTTTTGCAGATAGTATTTGTCCTCTTCGGTCATCACATATCTGCCGGTGGCCTTAACACCAATAGTAGTCTTTGGAGGTTCAGCTTGCAGCATCAACCTGAGTTCAAGAGGATCCTCATTCTGATGTTCCATGCTCGATGGGTTTGGTTTCATGAATGAACAGAGAGAATTAACGTAAAGAAGAAATTAGTTTTGAGATGCACTACAAAAATGCAGACTATCAGCGACGGAAAAATCCCTCGCAAATCCGTCGCTGAAAGTCAATCCGTCGCTGATCCGTCGCTGATACTCCGTCGATCAATTAGTCGTAGGTAATGCTATCAGCGACGGATCAGCGACGGATATCAGCGACGGATTTGCGAGGGAAATTTCCCTCGCTGATTTGCGAGGGATTTGCGA